ACAACGGTAATGAATATCAAACCAATAGCCAAAACTACACTGACATAAGTAAATCATTTATCCTAAAAGCCTCCTTTTTTGGTCTTACACTATGTAAAGGGAAAATAATAGGTATATGACAAGTTACCACAGTAACAACTGACTTCTGTTGCACAAGAAAAAAGCAAAAAATCCACCAACCTTAGAAGGCATTACTGAGCGTTACTTTTCGAAGTCGAATTACCTGAAACAACAAAGAAAAAAAAGGAAAGAAAAATTGGCAGGAAATGACGAAATTGGCAGGATCCATCCCTCACCACTGGCATGAAAGAGAGCAGATCCGGTTTTTCAGACAGAAATTGGAAAATTCCAACGCACTGCGAAATGACAGCACAAATTCTACGAAATTTGTCATGTTGTTTGGCGAGAAAAAGCAAATATATATACACATAAATCCTAAATGAATATGCCAGCCGATCCAGTAAGTGTTATAGGAATTTTAGAGATATTTAAACAATGAATCTGTCCCTGGCAAGAAGACTGGGAAAGGACGGGAGCCTGAAACCGTCTATGCTGCAGTTTGTTTGGCGTTGCTGGCCCACCACCGTGCTGGAGAGGAACACAGTCGAATTCTGATAATTAATGAAAACGCACTGGAAGTAGTGCCATTTAGATATCGCCACTAACTCATATGTTCGAGGAAGTTTGGAAATGAGAAACATACGATGGTAATCGTTGGAAAAGTTGCTAGCTACACAGATGGAGATCCAGGAGTTACAAGCTAACAGCTGTTCCAGGTATTCCAGCTAGAAGGATTCCAATGTATTATAACTGCACTTAACTTCAGTCAAGGAATGGGAAAAGGCAAACTTTCGAGGTACATCGACAAGCCTGATATGCTATCAATATTGGTCGAGATAGGCAGAACTGTTCGTTGGTAATATCTGGCTCTGGAAACTGCCGGACAAGGACGAAATTGTGCCAGGCCACAGCGTAAATGTGAAGAGCAAAATGGAATACAAGATGCATAAATATGCATAGGGATGCCTCAGTGCTGCC